TAATATAGAGGATCAGGTGGCAGATGATTTATGCATGTGAGCTGACAGGGTACACAAGAGGAAAACTTCCATTCAGATATCTGGGAGTTCCTATATTAGCAAAGAAACTATCTGCAGTAGAGCCTATATATGTTAGTGGACAAAATGACATGTAAAGTGAAAACTTGGGGGATAGTCCAGTTAATCAATTTAGTACTGCTGCACATACACTCATACTGGGCATCCATGTTTATTCTGCCCAGGAAATTGATAAAGCAAATAGTTGCTATATGCAGGAGATCTTATGGAGTTGACACATCCATGCTAATAAATCTCCTCTGATAAATTGTTGACTGCATTGTGTGGAATGAAGCTGCTGTAGAAAAAATATGTATGGAATATTGCCAAAAAAACTGACAACCATGGGTAAAGTGGGTGAATCACATCTATATAAAGGGCCAAAATTGGTGGCAGTGTGAAGTGCAACAAGATAACAGCTAGTATTGGAAGAAACTTTGTGGAATCAATGCTTATCACCCTGAGCATAGGATCTATGTATAGGAAGACAAATTGTAAAGATAGATCATGGCTGGAAGATATACTAAAGAGAGGAGATGTATAGATGAGGCTGAATAGGAGTAGACAGTAAAGTGGAGTGTAATTTCTTAGGCTTGGACTCTTGAAGTCGTAATTTCTTTTGCTGTTGTGAATAAGATGTGGTTTGTTCGACAAAAAAACGAAGATGATATGTGTATATCCGATGTATTATTTATGTATCCTATATGTATCATATATGTATCTCTTGTGTATCCTCTGTATATTCATGTATACCTTGTATGTGAGATACGTGTGAGAAAAAATGTTAGATATATATATATCGCAGAGAAATTTTTAAACTCGATTTAAACTATGAATTTTGGCTCAAAATTTATCCAAATCACCTTCACTCTTCCTCAAATATTGTATATTTCCTCATCTATGTGTTTTCAACAAATTTCAATTATACCTACCGGAAAAACAATTGCCAATATTTTTTGAATATTGTATATCATAATAACGAATTTTGACTCCAAACTAGTCCAAATCATCTTCAATCTCTCTAAAATTATTTGCCTTATTTATGTTTTATTCAACAAATTCGAAACATACCAATTGATAAAAAAGAATTAAAATTATTTTTTTGCTAGGTTTTTTGTATGTTGTATATCATTGGTAACTTTTTATTGTTATTTTTAATAGTGGCTAATAGTTAGTAGATACGGTCTATTTGTGGCTATTCCTATGAGATTCTCATAGGAACACTTTAATTCGTGTGAAACCTTTTAAGGAAAATCGTGTGGGCTTGACCCTATAAATAGTATCATACACAATATTAAAAGTATATTTGGGTTGACTTAGCCAACAATAATAGGGGAAAGGAAAATTAACTTATAATTTATTTTCTCTAAAAATGTGGTGCCGGTTAGAAAGACAAGCTACAATTGCAGTAACCTGAATCGATAACTTGATTATGTTTTATCTAACTCGGACTAAGTACAACTTGAGTTCATTAAACATGTATAGGTCCATGTTTTGTTGCATATCGTGATTTATCCTGGACCGTTGACTGAGTGGGATTTATACAGAAAATGAATAATTAATATAGATATTTTGTATATTGCTTTGATAAGTTTGATTAACAGAGCATGAAGAACGAGTTAGAAAGGTCTTAAAATAAAATAAAATAGGAAAAGAATATTAATACAAGTAAGAAAAAAAAAACTAGGATATTCCTCCTCTTATACAGTGAGACGTGGAGTAATACCAACTAGATCTCCTAGTAATATTATCTTGAATTCCAAAAAATTCCTTGACACATTCTTCCATAAATATCATTGAAAACTTTTATCGGAAAAGAACAAGTAAAATATAATGACATCTAATGTGAAGAATAAGTAATGGAGGAGAAACGCAGCCATTGTGAAAGCTTCTTGTATAATGAATACTTATGTCAGATATCTAATACTCAAGAATCCCCCAGGACTATAACTGGAATAGAGATATGCACAGGAATCTTTATCTAGTGTAGATGAAATATGAAGATGTGAGATAGCAACATATAACTTATAATTACTATTGTTGGAACAATTAAATGTCCAACTTCCCAGAATTAATGAACATTCATTTACTTAGTAATATAGTGTTTCTATCACTTATATTAGCCAACAAGCCATTAACAACTTATCTCTTTTTGGTAAATCTTCTACCATCAAACAATACACATCTATTTCCTTTGACTTTCATCAATCGTAGATAAGAAAATACTTTTTTTTTGTTGAATTAGCTTAAGATTTCTCTTTAACATTATCTTTTTCTTGTTCCTCGCATATATCTCGAAGAAAATATAATTTAAGCTTAACTCAACCCTAAAAAATACAGTTCAACCGATGAAAATCATCAGAAATTTATAAGAACACCAATACACTTAAAATAATGTGAGTATTGTAACAATTTCCCCTTTTTCCTTTCACATGCGCCCCAAGCTAAAATATAGCATGGAGTATCATAAGTCATAACATGGGTAGCCTAACATAAAAAAATGTCGGTCTCTAACTTTATGTTGAAGAATATAGACACTAGGCATAACATAATGGACGTTAAACCAACTCAACTACAGAAAATAACTTAATAGTAATGATCGTTCAAGACTATATAAGAAGATATGAATAGTATATAAATATGGAGATTCTAACAGTATGATATTACTATAGAACCTCTACGATGAACCAAAAAAAGAAATATATATAAAAAATAAAAATAAAAAGATGTTCCTATAATTACTTTTCTTATCTATCAAAATCACCTTACTCAGGTAAGTTTCAATTGCAATTCACCCCCATCTGCAAATCCCATTCATTAAATTTTTGCGTGTTACTTTCCAACCTCATTGCCCACGAGGCACGACGTATAATTTTAAGAATATGATTGTCGTTATTGGAACGATCGTGCGACCTAGAAGGAATCTATTTTTTCCAATTTGTATAGAGAATGGAAGAGAATTTTTTTTCTTTTTTTCCTGTTTGTTTTAATATTTTGACCGTTTGTTGTGATAAAATATCTGTTATGGAGAACCAACTTGGGGTGCAAAATGCTTTTAGTAGCGCAATTTCTTTAATTTTAATTACTATGGTTATGATTTTATCCCCTATGTCATATTCATATCGAAATGTTCCTCCATTTAATCTTTCGCTTCTCTGCTTCTCGGTTTTAAAGATCTTTTTGACACTCCATATAAGGACTTTCACGTGGTTTGGCAAAAGAACATGTTGCGAAGACAAGATTTGAACCCAAAACTGCCATTACTCTTTAGTTTTCTGTTGAGGTCTATCATGCAGGTAATCAAATTGGATCACTGAATCCCTCTCTTTCCGTACAACATTTAATGTGCTATTTAATTTAATTTCGATTAATAAGGAAATGATTCTATCTTTTCTGTAAATATATATAGCGTGGTATAACTTACACATCTTACCTTCTCTTAATATAGCTGTATTTCGTGTCCGTCACAAGTTGCTTAAAAAGGAATTAAAGAGAATATCATCAGAAAGGTTGCAACTGTGAACTGCATCTAGAGGAAGAGAGACTGTAATATGGTTGCAAAAGTGAAGTTTTATGAATGTTGGTGTTGCTTGATGAATTGGTTAATGTGATTCTTAAAGAAGAAGGAAAAGGTACTACTGTAGATAAAAACCCACTTTAAAAATCGTAGTATATCATATCTTTTCAAATGCTCCTACTAATAAGATACTCGAGAACATAAGAATGATAGTTTCTTTGGAAGGGAGATAAAAGAGAGAAAGAAATACTCTATGATGTTGTGTGGGACAAATTAAATCATGATTCATGCAAATTAATTAGTATATTCAACGTGTAAAATAAGTACTAAAATTCCGTTTAGAGATGGAGATCTCAAATTTAACCTGGCAGGATAAATATTTTATTAAACAAAAGAATTAATATTCCATGTATAGAGATAATCTCAAACATCACATGTAATAATCTTTTTATGTAATCATATAATATGAAAAGAATTTACACTATTAGTATACACTGAGGCGGATCCAGGATTTGAGGCTTATGGGTTCCTACCGTAATTTCAAATTAATATGCAATAATAACTGGGTTCACAATTACATATTTACAAATATTTAGTAAATTTTTTAATATAAATACAGGATCTACGCAAGAGTTATTGTGTTCCCGGGAATCCGTATTCAATGTTCTAGGTCCGCCCCTGAGTATACATACGTTAAACTCTTTCTTAATTCATTCATAAGCCGGTTTCAAAAATGTCTTTTAGGTAGAGCCTTTTCTATAGAGGACTATGTAGTTACAACAAATTATGAAATTCCTTCGTTTAATTTGCTAATTATAGCAAGTAGTCTTTTCTATACGGCAAAGAAAATTTTAAGCACTATTTCATTACCTTCGGAGGATCACTTGTAAGATACTTTGCTGTTATTTCTTTTGTAGGAAATCAGAAAAAGCATTGATTCTAAGGCTAGGATGGTCGTTTATTTACCTAAACAATATTACTGCGATTATAGTTATTTGAATACAAATATGTGTTACTATATACAGTTTTACCGTATAAACGTCAGATTTTTTCCCAGTGTTATGAATTTAGAATCACTACCTCAGTATCCTCAATTTATGTAACCTTTTTTTTTTTTTTTTTTTTTTTTTTTTTTTTTTTTTTTTTTTTTACAGTTGTTTTCTATTACACGGGGGACGGATTAGGGAAGGGGAAGGGAAGAGCACAATTAGATTTTATTCACGTATGTAATGATTCTCACCGATGCTATTAACCTATAAATAATCTTATGCTCTATCTAATTATGCTATTAACCTATAAATAATCTTATGCTCTGTCTAATTTCTCCTATATTACGTAGATCTTTAAAAGATCAAAAAAACATATAGAAATAAGTATGCATTGCGAGTTTACTGTGCGTGTACAAACTTTTTACTATCATTTTTGTACTGAAAGTTTTTCATAAATCCAATACTAATAACGGAAAAATCATCAAGATTGCTGATGTTTTTCACCCTCTATATATGTAACCTAAGTTTACTGCATTTAAGTCATTCAACAAAACCAAATCAATTGGTTTCTTTATTCTTTTTATTCTTCTTACGATGATTCACTTTCAAACTGGTCTCTTAATTACTCTCTTTCTTGTTGCTACTCAATATGCAAGCAATGGTAATGCATACGAAATTCCCTTTAACCAGACATATTATCAGATATGGGGAGGTAACCATCTAACAATTTCTGACGAGGGAAAAGAAGTTCAGCTATTGATTGACCAATATTCAGGTTCACTCTAATATCTCTAATTACTGGCTTATATTTTGTCAAATTCATCTCCATCCGCAGTAGTATAACAATATGATTTATTTGTCAAATTCAGGTGCTGGATTTAGTTCGAAACAAAATTTTGGGTCTGGAGATTTTCGGATCAAGTTAAAGTTACCAAAGAAGAATAGTAAAGGAGTTATAACAACATTCTATGTAAGATCTTATACTTTCTTAACATCTAAATCTAATTATGATATATACTTTGTAACTTTTTTCTACTTTGCAATGATGTTATATAATTTTTTATAAATTGGATAGTATTGTATAAAATTTCATGGTGCATAGCCAATCCTAAACATGTCATTAAATTTGACCTATTAGTTGAAAAGAAGTATAACACACATCACACATATCTATATACTATAAAGGAGTAAAATAAGACATTAGTTTGATTTTGTTGTGCACTTTCAATTTGACTAAAGTAGAATATTAAGTTTAGCTACAATACTAAGGAGATAGTATATAGTAGCAATTGTGGTTGTTTAATTTGCAGTTAATATCAAAGGAAGTTAATGAACCAGCAAGACCCAAACATGATGAGGTTGATTTTGAGTTCTTTGGAGGAGATGGCAAATATACATTAAATACAAATATCTTTGCAAATGATGAAGGGCATAGGGAGCAACAGTTTAATCTCTGGTTTGATCCTACAGCTGATTTTCACACATATGGAATTCTTTGGAATCAGTATCAAATTGTGTAAGTAATAAACTCATATAATTTTTTTTAAAATTATATTTATTTATTTTGACACATATATTTATTTACTTTTTTTTAAATTATTGTGTACCTTGATAACGGGAAATTCTGCTGATATAGTTGTCTAAAACTGAACTATTCAAAAGATCATATAAATGGAATTAGGTATATCTACTTAATTAAGAACCATCATACGTGCCCGATGAGTTGATATTTTGAACTAGTATAATGTTCAGTTTTAAATAATTATATATCATCTACAATTCCTTTGAGCAAATAATCCAAATGAAACAATACAATATATCGATAAAAATGAGCTCAACAAGCAAACGAAATGAAACCCTTCGGGGTTGCCCAGTTGGTTTGGAGGGCGGTCATCCATACGGATGACCTGTGATCGATTCCCCCCTCAATGCCTTCTGGGTTGAGCATGTCGCACAGGGCTTGCCTAGTGCGGTTTACATCCCCTGTGTGGTTTGCAGGCTATTACATAGAGGGTTTACCCAGTGCGCACAAAGTGCTCACCCGGAGAGTAGAGGTTGTGGTAAAGGTTGTAGCAGCGGGTTTCCCCTCTTACCAATAAAAAAAAAGAAGCAAACGAAATGGGAAAATGTTGATTATAGACGCCTTCCATGAGGATTTCGTATAGTTAAGAAATTACCTCGAAGTTTAAGGTAATCGATGAAGTTAACGTATGAGGTATGACATAAAGTCAGTAAGCTTGAAATGAATATCATTGAAGCATTATGTACACACGTTCTTTATTTCTTTTTCGTCTCACGTATTATATACGTATGTATACGATTTGTACTCAATTATCTTTCGCCCATGATAGACATTGCTTCTGGCCACCTAGTTCATACGACATGGATAAAAAATAATCATCAATCAAGTGACGTATACTATGTGTTATCTCGATTAAAATTTTCATTTCTATCAAATTTGAAACTATCTGTACGTAGTACTAAATAAGAAAATAATAACGGTTTTTCACTTAATTCTCTCAAGGTTATATGTGGATGATATTCCCATAAGAGTTTTCAAGAACAATACAAATCTTGGAGTGAACTATCCATCAAACAAAATGCACATAGAAGCAACAATGTGGAATGCAACAGTTTGGATTGGAGAAGTTGACTGGAGCCAAGGACCCTTCACAGCTTATTTTCGCGAATTTTCAATTAATGGCTGCCAATATCAAAAATCAAACCCTCAATACTGCTACAGAAATAGCTATTATTGGAATAGAATCAATTACTGGAAGCTTAGCCCAAAACAACAGCAGCTATATGAAGATGTGAGGGAAAAACACATGACTTATGACTATTGCCTGAGGAACGCCAAAGATTTTCCAGAATGCTAACATATAGTAGTAATCTAAATCGTTGTATTTTGTTCTCTGGCCAACTTAAATCAAATTCCTGCTCCCAATACTAGTGATTAAAGTGACTCTTGTTTTTACTAATCTAAGTACAAACACTACATCTTTTGCAGTCCAGTATCAATAGTCATGTTTCGAACTCTAAACTTCTACGGTTCTACCCATACCATAGACCAATTTAAATACTACATATAAATAAGCAAACAAATCAATTCTACAAGGGTGAACATGGTAGACCCGTATAGAGCCATCGTCATATCTAAAGTTTTCATTCTTTTTAGTTCTTACTCTTTCTCTAATTTTTCTTCTTTTTTCCTTTTACTATGTTGAATAGGAAAAAGATGTTTTGAATGCATACAGAGAGTTGACTTCTTAGAAAGTCACCAATGGAAATTGTGGTGAAACTAATCAATCTATTTTGGGCATCGTAACTGAAAAATCACTCTAATGTGGCATTTTTCTTTTCAACCAAATCATTTAAAAAATTAAATCCATCCATTAAAAGTATTTTCTTTTCGGCTTCTCTTCACTCTTTTGTGTACACACTAAATCTACTAAAAGTAAATTCCAATACTTGTTAATAGTAGAATAAAGAACTTGTAGTTGGATAGACAATTATATAGAAGGCTACATATCTAACCCTTGAGCTTGTCAATCTTCTTATAGGCGAGTTTTGAGAGCTGTTGTTGATTGGTCTTTTATTGATGCCCGCAATATTTTACTGATATTTGGCTCAAGAGAGGTGCCTCTGATTCCTTCATGAGAGATGAGCTCGATTCATTTAAGTGCTCCATGTCGGAAATCCAGGGAGTGCTCCATGCTCCATGCTTTATTGAAGAAAGGGGCAACACTCAAATTGTCTCCCATTATGTTGTGTTTTCCACTCAAATTGTCGTGCTCCATGCTTTATTAAAGAAAGGGGCAGCACTCAAATTGTCTCTCATTATGTTATATTTCCCTTCCATTTTGAATCTCCTACTTACTGCAATCATGTCTATTATATCGTTTCACTTTGTTTTGGATCTCCTGAATTACTTTTCCAACAGTTCATTCTTTGCTTCTCACAGCTTGCACCTTTTAAATCTAAAGGAGATTAGATTTGACCAAAAAGATATTTTCATAAAGAAGCTCTTCACATGGGCTTTTAAATACTACAAAGAATTGCTTTTGGATCGTTTTCTCCACGTGCTATTCAAGAATTCATGATTGACTTTCCATAATCCTTGTCTATCAAAGACCACTCTTCAATCATCCTTTCTTGTAGTTTTTCAACGAGATTTTTTTTCCTTCTTTACTAGACCAATTTATTTGCTTCTTAAAATATTCCATGCTATCTCCTTCTAATAAAATATTCCTTCCTTTGTGAAAGACTTTTCCTTCTATGGTATCTCAAAGACTTTAGTGCTTTATTTGATTGTGTAAAATAATACTAGTGACCCATGTCACATCCTTTTGCCAATTTGAATATTTTCTCAATTCATCTCTCCTTTATACTTTCCAGATTTTATCTCGGTTGATGTGCCCATTCAGTCCTGCTAGATTAGCGACAGAGTTCTCCTCCTCATCTTCATTCCTTTTTGTAATGACCCGACTTGTCATTTTAAGAATTAGCGTCCCGTTCAGTGGCTTAAAACCTCAAAAAATTTTATAATGTGTATTATGACTTGCGCGCGCGGTTGAGTTTGGTGTTCGGATGATTCGAGATTTAATCGAAAGAACAATATATTCTTGTTTTGGAAGCTTAAATGAAAAGAGTTGACCGGAGTTTGACTTTTGTGCAAACGACCACGGAATGAAACTTTGATGGTTCCAATAGTTTCGTATGGTAATTTCGTACTTAGGCGTGTGAGCATCTAATTTTTTTACCACATTTGAATTTCTCACCACTTTTAGTATTTAAATAGTTTTAAGTTTAATCTTTATATATTTTAGTTTTTGTTTCACCTTTTATAGGTTTTATTTGAGAAAATTAAAAACCAAAAAACAAAAAGAATTACTTGGCCTTTGTTTAATATATTTCCTATTATAGCAAGTTATTTTAGTTTATTCTTACATAGAAAAAAAATTATTTTAAAAAATAAAATTAAAGAAGAGAGACGTTTGAAGCAAAAAGCAGAAAACAAGAAAAGTAGATTTATAAGGAAAAACATTCTTTTCACTTTTTAAAATGTGGACCCCCCACCTTATCCCTCCATAATAAACTCCACCTGCACCACGTTACTAAAGTCGCCAAAAAAGAAAATCGGGCCCCAAGCTTCCTTCTCACACATTCTATATAAGGAGAAAACCTAGAACTTAAAGGGGGGAGACGCCACTCACTACTCCTTCTTCCTTAGGTGATATTATTTTTCCTCCTCACTAAACCTTCACGAGTCACTGAAAATCAGTCATAAAATTATCTCAAACCCATCCCGAAACAGATGTAATTCCACTAGTTCGTCGCTACTGCTTTAGCTGTACAACCACCAGTGAAACACCATCCAAAACAGTCCCTTTTCTCTGTTAAAACCTAGTTGGAAAATGCAGCAAAAACCCCCTTTAAAACCATCGTAGTTCTTCCTCAAAGCAGCGTGCAATTGGGTTGAGTCGGGTTTGAGTTCATGACGAGATTTCGTTCGTGGTTCCGGCGAGGTCTTCCATCGCGGATCTATAACGTGTTGTAGTAGCTGTTATTCCAAATTTTATAAAGGATCTCTATATATTGCAAGTCTAAATTGCTAAGCTCAAGGTCCATTTCTACTTTAGATCTTTATTTCGTGCATGGCTTGATGTTTAATGTTGCTGAGCTTATATTACTTGCACATTGTTTATATATTTATGTGGTGATTCGTTCTTAGTTTGAGAATTGTTGTGATGTTATGCTGATTTTCAGTTTCTCTCGTTAGCTTTGCAACTGCATTTTAGTATAACAATTGTGGCTTAGAGTTAATTCGTATGTTTCAAGTTATTTGCTAAACGGATCAGTTGAATAGGATTTTATTAAAATTAGAGAATGAAGATTCAATGTGATATTTATGGGAGTCTTACAAAATTGAAGTGGGTCCTAGGCTTTTGACTGCTAATGGGTATTGAGTTTAGGCTGATTTGAACGAATAAGTGGACCAGGTTATATTGGGCTTGAATTTTACTCATTGACTAGCTCGTCGTTTGATCCATAGCTGCTAATAACTCCAAAATGCCTTTTAGCCCGTTAATGACTTGTATTTTAGATATTGTTAATTAATTTTTTCATTGATATGCCTTTTATTCACGAACTCGCTTGCGTAGCGTGATGTTTAATATTTAGTAAATTAATTCTATAATCTCCATAGCTTAATTACTTCCTAATTTAATTAGTCTCTTGTTCTAATCGAGGATTCGCTTGCGTAACGCGATAGTGGCATTTAATAATTTCCTAAAACTAATGTCACAACCCAAAATCCATTAAAGGTCATGATGGCGCCAGACACCACTGCCAGGCAAGTCCAAAAATAAATACTTAATTGGGTTCTCATTTTAATATTTTTGAAATCATATTTTTCTTCAATTAAATAGTAAAAGGTAGAATATCCAGAATAAATAATAATATTTTTAACAAATTCAATACAGAACAACCCAAAATCATCCCAAAACCCGATGTCATAAGTGCATGAGTATTAACTAGGAATATAAAATAAAATACAACAGCTGTCCGAAATACAAATTGGACAGAAAAAATATAAGTACTCTGAAGGAGACTCTGCTGGTTGCGGATCGTAGTATAGAATGCAACTCACCTAAGTCCCCGCCATAACCGCGCCGTTGCGCCCACAAGGCCACTAAACATATATATACGTGCACAAAATTGTGCAACAAGTGTAGTATGAGTACGTAAATCAACGCGTACCCATTAAGTATCCCGCCTAACCTCGAAGAAATAGTGATGAGGGGTTGACTTCGACACTTACTATGGGCTATAAAGAGGATATCAATGATAAAATTAAGTATGGATTATATACAAAACGGTTGCAAGCTCAATATTTTGAAGTAAGCAAGAAATTCTTTTATAATTAAGAAATCTTCAAATTTATTTCCCATTATTTAATAATTTATCTCAGGCAAGGAGGCAATATCATTTATTGTAAATTTCAAAGCAATCAATTCAATCATGCGCAAATCATGTTGAGGTCGTACGGCCCGCTCCAACATAAATATTTAAACTATGCACTGCCGAGGGTCGAACGGCGCGAACCATAGATGCATCTATTTAATCTGCTGAGGCGTTTGGCCCGCTCCACAAAAACTAAACACATTCAACAGTCAATCAAGAATTCTTGAAGGAGCAATTATCCAAGAAAATGTCAATTCTCATTTAACGGTCAAGAAAAACGAAATTTAATGTTTTTAAAAATTCTTTTACCAAGTTCAATATGATTTAAGCAATTTAAATTAACAATAAGGTTTCAACTATAGCAAGTATAGCATGATTTGGGTCCTAGACTACCCGGACTTAGCATAATAGTAGCTATGCACGGACTCTCATCACCTCGTGCGTACGTAGCCCCCACAAATAGAAGCACATATCGTATTATTTCGCCTATGAGGTTATTTCTCTCTTACAAGGTTAGAAAGGAGACTTACCTCGCTCCGAAATTCCATCACCGGCTCCCAAGCCCTTTCAATAACTCAAACCGATGCCCAACGCTCTAAAATTAGTCAATAAACGTGCAAATCCATAAATATACACTCTAGTACTTATTATAATCCAATTTATAACAATTCCTAACTCCGCTTAAAAGTCGATAAAATCACCCTCGGGCCCACATGCCCGGATTCTGAAAATTTTTGAAGATAAACCTTACCCATATCACCACATGCTCAAATATATAATTTATTCCAAGTTCCACGTCCAATTTCGTGGTCAAAATCTAAAAATATAATTTCTAGGTTTTCTACCAAACCCCCCACAATTTCTACTAATTTCCATGCTTATATCCTTATACAAATCATGTATTTAACTTGCAATAGGTGGGAATCACTTACATTGTGTTGCTTGATGAAAGTCCCTCCTTGAAGCTCTCCAAAATCGCCTCAACTAAGCGGAAAATGAGAGAAGAAGAGCCAAATCTCGCTCTTTAAAACAATCTGCCC